TGAATTCTATTCAATTAGTCATTATTTTTTGACTTGCTTGAAAATTTGGCTGAGGTTAATCGTGGAAGTTGCTTTCCAGTCATATGCTACATGTGGTGTAATGATCTTTATATGGATGTTGCTTGTCGAAGCAACTCCTCTCATGAAGAGTTATATGTGTTGGAGCTATTCTATCTTCCTTTGAAGTTTGAATACCTCTTACCAATGCAATTTTTTTTTTTTTTTTATTTGTGTGGAACTTGTTTACCCTTAATTAGTTTCTTAATTTTGACCTGCAGTTCCAGGCATTTGACTTTCAGACAACTTTGAGAAACGAACCATTCTTGCAGCTTTTCCATTCTCTATATGTATATCCTTTAACTGTGAGCTTGAGTTGGAAAAGGAATCTATTCGAAGGAGTTGAGCTAAGAAAGGATGATGCAGTTGTTTGTAGACAACCTTTGGAGGTAAAATTGTTGAGTGATACTTTGCATTATGATTTTAAACTCATCTTATTGTTCTTTCTGTGTTACTGATATATGGCTAAGCAATGTATCCAAGGGAACCTGGTTTATCACTTCAGAAGTGGGCTCACACGCAAGTTGCTGTTGGTGCTCGGGTGGCCTGCTACCATGATGAAATTAAAGTTTCTCTCCCTGCTGTTTGGACACCATTGCATCACCTTATGTTCACTTTCTTCCATGTTGATCTTCAAATGAAATTAGAAGCTCCAAAAATAGTGAGTTCAATGAGATCCTTTTTTCTTTTCCTTCCATTTGAAATAATACAAAATCATCTGAACCTCGTCTTAGTGGTTGTATACTCGTTGGTTAGTGATTTGGCCTGGTTCGCACTCCTCTCATTCTATCTTTTATTGCAATCCTAAGTAGTTCTGTTCTTTTACTTGGCAGGTAGTAATTGGACATGCAGCACTTCCATTATCCACCCATGCACAGTATGCAACTGCTTTATGTTTGTCATCTTTTGTTTTATTTCTTTCCTTGATGATCTATTAACTTACATTATTTGTTCTGCTACTGGAGTGATTGGTGTGGTAGTTCATGGTATTGGAAATAAACAGGGGGCAGAAATATAATCACCTATTCGGTATTCTAGTGGTTTGTTAAGTTAATGTTATAATTTCAATTGTCAAGTCACTTTCCTAGTTTATGTTGTGGGTACTTGGATAATATCAATGTGAGTCTTCATTCACCTTACAGTGAAATGCTACCTAGTTTATTCAGATAAGTTTGACAAAATCTTATTAAAAACAACAGAGGTGGTATTTAACATCAAGAACTCTCATTACCTAAGCTTAGTGTATGAAGTTA